TTTTCCACCCTGATTTACGAATAAATTCTTTACAAATCCTACCATGTGGATTCATGGATTTTTTTTTTCACATTCTGTCTCTCACAGGCCACCAAAGCGAAAGCCCTCCGCCACTTGGCTGTGCCTAGAAATCCTGTCCATAAAAATTATGAACAGAACCGGAGACAAAGGGCAGCCCTGGCGGAGCCCATCACCCACCGGGAACGAGTCCGACTTATTGCCGGCAATGCGAACCAAGCTCTTGCAACGGTTGTATAGGGATCGAATGGCCCGTAGCAATGGGCCAGACACCCCATACTCCCGCAACACCTCCCACAGGACACCCCGAGGGACACGGTCGAATGCCTTCTCCAAGTCCACAAAACACATGTAGACTGGTTGGGCAAACTCCCATGCACCCTCAAGTATCCTGGAGAGGATAAAGAGCAGGTCCAGTGTTCCGCGACCAGGACGAAAACCGCATTGTTCCTCCTGTATCCGAGGTTCGACTAGCGGACGAACTCTCCTTTCCAGCACCCTGGCATAGACTTTCCCAGGGAGGCTGAGGAGTGATTATCAGTGGTCTTGTATGTCTTCCATTTTCTGATGATTTCTCCCACAGTTGATTTTTTCACACCAAGCTGCTTGCCTATTGTAGATTCACTCTTCCCAGTCTGGTGCAGGTCTACAATACTTTTCCTGGTGTCCTTCGAAAGCTCTTTGGTCTTGGCCATGGCGGAGTTTGGAGTCTGACTGTTTGAGGCTGTGGACAGGTGTCTTTTATACAGATGATGAGTTCAAACAGGTGCCATTCATACAGGTAACGAGTGGGGGACAGAAAAGCTTCTTACAGGAGACGTTACAGGTCTGTGAGAGCCAGAGATTTTCCTTGTTTGAGGTGACCAAATACTTATTTTCCACCCTAATTTACGAATAAATTCTTTACAAATCCTACCATGTGAATTCATGGATTTTTTTTTCACATTCTGTCTCTCACAGTTGAAGTGTACCTCTGGTGCAAATTACTGACCTCTGTCATCATTTTAGGTGGGGGAACTTGCACAATCGGTGGCTGACTAAATACTTTTTTGCCCCACTGTATGTAAATATGATCTCTGTGACTGAAAACACTACAGTCAGAGATGCTATAAGAGAAAGGCTTTATTGATAATGAAGGAGGAAAACCATTTAGGCTTCAGTCTATTCAGCTCAGCTGTACTGAACCGCAGAGCCAATGAAAAAGTGTAACTGTAGACTTTTGTGCTACCATACACTCCTGTTACAGTGTTGAGAAGTGCACTATAAATACCGAATAATCCTAATAATGGATGTGTCACAAAAATTAAATGCATCTTTTAATCCACTCCTAAACATTGAAAATAATTCACAATCACAGATTTTATTATATCATTAACATTTTAAATTTGACATGAAACACTGTGTTTATAAATGCTAATTTACATCCTAGAGGTTCACAGACAGTTTTAAATCTATGACAGTTTTTTAGAGCAGGGCACCATTAACTTTTATATATGTAGTGTTTCATGTCCACTGTAAAAGTGTTACTGCATGAATGTAAATATATTACCACCCCTGCCTACACATGCAGTGAAACCATATCAATATTGCTATTATGCCAATACCATTAGTCACTGGGATTTTAAGTCTCTTGGGATTGGGATCAAAAGTCTAATGGAAAGTGAAAGAGAAAGTTTTTTTGCTTTTTTGTTTTTGCTTTGAGCGGCGCAGCGGTTCGGCTTGTTCTGGATTCGATTGTAGTGGGAAATGAAGCTCGTCCCGGTGTTTGTGATCCTCGCTCACAGTAAGATCAGCTGGTCCGTGATTCATGATGTTTAGTGTAAAAATATATCAGCTGTTTAAATAGGAGTAAGAGCTTTCTGTCTCCCTCCTGCTGCTCCGCTCCGGTTTTTGTATCTGATTTAGAGCAGCTGTTCACAGGAGAGGGAAACTGAGAACGGCTTACATATGATCAAACCTTCAAAAACAAACTGAAATGATTGCTCAGAATTACTGAGAAGTTATTGATACAAAAAATCAGCTGTATTATTATTATTATTATTATTATTATTATTATTATTATTATTATTAAAATACATATTTGGCACAGGCCTGCTGGGTCAGTATATAGTGCACAAAGTAAGCTCCTTAAAGACTGGATGATCTGCTTCTCTATGTGTTTTTTTTAGGTGGTACTCTTGTCTGTATAGTGTATTTGCCATACTGACTTCAAGAAATAGTGGGAAATCTCACACGTACCAGTCTTTTTCCCCTGTTGTGTGCAATTCAGTGAGTTATTTCTGTTTTTGTTGGCTGCATTGTCAGTCGCTACAGAACAGAGGTCACGTTTTAATGCTTCTACTCATGAACTCTGGTGAACATGGTGAAGTCAGAATTACTTTCTCCAGCTTTGTCTTCATAATTAAACGTCTGTGACTGTTTTGACAGTAAGACAGGTTTACAGCCTGCTCCTCCTCAATGAGACATTTAATGCACATTACTGTGATCACTGTTTGCTTTAGCCGCATACTGTAAGACAATGATCAACACTGATCTTTGTCATGGAACCAAAAGTCAGATCTGTTTTCTGGAACAGAGCCCAACTGTTCTTCAGCCCCAGGAAATCAGAACAGCTCAAGATTCCTATGGAAGTTCACCCACCCAGATCATATTTACAGATGGGAATTGATAAGAATTTACCTGTTCTGATTCCATTATTGATTCTTATTGGCTGCACTCTGAACAAACCTTTTGTAAACCAGTGTGGCTGTTTTTGTTGTACCATTGCTGTTCTTGCATGCTTTTTTCTATCTGTCTCTGTCTGACAGCAGAGTCTGTTTTTTGCAGTATACTTGGGTATCCACTGACAGCAATGTAATGTCATGCCAAGAAAAGCACTTCTCTGTAGTGATCACTGTTATTTGTGATTGAACTGATGTAATTTCATGACACGTCACAAAGTCAGAGTCTGTCTCAGCACTGAATTTGTGGTCATTTATTGGTTTGAATAACAGTAGGAAAAAGTAGCAGAATGCAGTTTCTCTGGAAGGACCTTGTGTGGGTGGGTGAGGTTGGGTGATGTTAAAGCTTGTTTGTCCAAATATGCCCTGGATTCAAGATTCAAGAAGTTTACTGTCATGTACACAGCAAAACACAGTAGTTACACAGAGAAGTGAAATTCTTCATTTGTGGGTTCCCTTCACACAACTAAATAGCAACTAACTAAAATAAAGAATAAACGTAACTCTGAGCATAGAAAATAATAAATAACGTAAAACAAGTGATATGTTTGCATATGATAAATATGCAATAATAAGATGTTTATATTGTATGAAGTTTTGTTATGTTGTATATAAATGTACAAAATTGCAAATTTACAGGTTAAAGATAATTACAGTTCAACAATCAGTCAGTGATTCAGTAGCCTGATGGCCTGTGGATAGAAACTGGTTTTTAGTCTGGTTGTAAGTGCTTTTACCCTCCTGTAATGCTGCCAGATGCCAGGAGTGTGAACAGTGTGGGTGGGTGCGGTCCTTGATGATGTTGTGTGCCCTCTTCCTGACCCGAGTGTTGTAAATGCCCTGTAGTGGTTCCAGTTCTTCTCTAATTTTTGCATTCATTTTTCATACTGAAAGAAACATTTCTGAAAAGTCAGGTTCATTCATCCACACATTTAATTCCTATAATATTTTGACTATTTTAGGTTGAAGCGAAATGGAAGCAAAAAAGAAATTAAGCAAGAAATCCCCCCCCCCCAAAAAAAATAAAATAAAATAAAATAAAATAAAACAAACTGAGCATTGAAACCAAACTGGATTGTAGAGACTTGTACAGACAGACTTTATCTTATTAGATGCAGATAGTTTTCTTCTCACAGTCATGTAGGCACCAGCCTGAGATGAAGACACAAAGTGGATCATAACTATTAACACAGCTTACAGTGAGTTGTTTTCCATCCGCACACTACAAGGTTACACACACACCAACAGTACACAGAAGTTAAATAAGGTGAAACACAAATTTTTCCCTATAGTGACAGAGAAACAAGAAAACTGGATGTACTTATTGTTTGTTAGTTAGTGAGCCTGATCTGGATCTCCTCGCCTCTAAATATGTGTTTTCTGTGGAACAGAAACTGAGTGAACATGTTTCTGTATCCCCAGTTTCCCAGCATGCCTCAGGGGTGGAGGTGGAGGTCTATGAGAGGGAGGACTCTGCGCTACTGCCCTGTCAGGTTCCTGCTCCTTTATTTAAAGACGATGTAGTTGTTTGGAGACATGATGATCTGAATCCTGCAATCATCCACACTCTCATCAAGGAACACGATGACATTATAAACCAAAACCCTCGTTACACCAGCAGAACATCAGTCCAGAAGGAAGCCCTGCAGACTGGAGACCTGAGCCTCACTCTGAGAAACCCTACAGTCTCTGACAGTGGAACCTACATCTGCACCACCCGCAGCTTCGGAGAGGACAGGAACACAACTGAAGTACAGTTGAAGGTCAAAGGTCAGGCTATGAAAAGTGTCTTTGCCCATCAACAGTGACCAGAGCTGATGAAAAAAACTACCCAACTACAGCAATAGCCTGACAAACAGTTTTCAACCAACTGCAACGTTTATTGAAGGTTCCCTCCAGAAAAGATGTCATCATGCTTACCTCTGAATAAAAGAGGTAAGCGTGATAAAAAGTAAAAAACAAAACAGTAGCCTTAGGAAAAAAAACAGAGTACCGTAGCAGAACATTTAATCTTGATCATTTAATGCGTTTTAATAATTTACAAATCAGTGTTCATCGATATAATTTACAAACAGACAATATACATGTCTGATAAGTAAGCTAGAAGTTTAGACAAAAACATGCCAGTCCTTTTTCTTGCTGGCAGTCAAAACAACAAAACAAAATGGTCCCAAAGTGGAATCCTGCAGGATGCCACATTTCCCCATCGAATCTAAAAAATCATTTTTTAAAATTTCAGAAATCTAAAATACTGCTGGAACAAGTGAAACTACTGTGGGTGATGTTCAGGTTGCTTGTGTTTTTTACAGGACCTTCTCCAGTCTGGGTCAAAGTTGTCCCAGCTGTCCTGATTCCCCTGGTTCTCTTGGCTGCTGCTGTTGCTGTCTTCATGAGCCTTGTATATAAAAGGATGAAGAAAACTGCAGGTAGTGTGTGTGTTTGTGTGTTGCAGACCTGGCCAGCTCCTGTGGGGATGTTGAGAGTTTCAATTTAAAATCTGATGACACGTACTGGTACTGACTTTCAGGAACAATGGAAATGTGCAGAGCTTCAGTAACTACAGAGCGATACTATGAAGATATGGGAAATAGTTGTTGATGCTAGGCTAAGAAGAAGAGTGATGATCGGTGAGCAGCAGTAGGACTTCATGCCAAGAGAGAGTGCTATAGATGTGGTGTTTGGTGTACGCTGTAAGAGGCAGATGATCCATTTTGAGACCCCTAAAGGAAGAAGACTAATTTATACCCACAAGCTCTGCCTTCAGTTCCTCACTGATGTTGTTTACAGTTTTGTTTCTCAAGTTATGAATGTTGTCCGTGCAGTTGCCTTCACAAGAACAAAAGCTGCCCTTGATAAGAAGCAAACATATTCATGGAGGAATGCTATACTGATAAAAATCTCCTACAAGAGGTCAAAGACATGTAGAATGAAGTGGGAAAAAAAATAAATTTCAAACTAAAAAAAAAAAGACATCTTTAAGCTTGAATGGAGAAGACAGACATTTTCTGTCAGATATCAATAAATCCAGCACCAGTCAGGCATTATATGTATCCTATACTTTTATCTTCACACATAAAACCTGAATATATGATAGGATGAATTAACACATTGGTTATGGTTCTTTCGTTTTGTTTTTTTTTTTACATATCTGATTAACAGATTTTTGGCACGCCTTTCCTGAAACAGTCTTCCCACAGATCTCTATCCCCTCCCAGTCTTCCGTGCAATAGGTGATTATGTGATCTCCACTAAGCCACACAGCCTGCTGTTATCCACATTATAGAAAGACGTTTCTTTAAAAAAAAAAAAAAAGTGATTTACTGCTGCTGTTTGCTACAGTTGATGTTCTTCTCTGCTCTCTCAGTTTGCCAGCTCAAAGCAGTGGACGTGACAGAGGGTGCAGAAAGTGTCCTGCTGCCCTTTGAATCCAAAAAATGTAAGAGAGAGGACATCATAGTGGAGTGGAAACGTATCCAAGATAAAGAAGTCAAGGCAATCGTATATGAGCAGGGTCGGACACAGCATCATAAAAACAACAAATCGTTCCGACGCAGCACAGAGATGAAGAAAGACCCACGGACTACAGGAAATGCCAGTCTGACTCTGAGAAATGTTAGCTGTGAAGATGGAGGTGTTTATATCTGCACCGTCTGCGACAATGAGGGAAAGACCCTGGAGCAGCAAGTGGTGGTGCTCTTGGTTCATGGTCAGTATAAGAGAATTTGACCTAAAAGCTCCTGCTGAACACATTCATGTCCATTAGTAATATTGACAGTTATATTTCTGTGAAGGTTAGTGACCTCACATGAAAATGCTGTTAGTGTGATAAAAACACAAGAACTGATGTATACTTTGACAGAAAATAAACAGAGCAGTCACCTTAATCGGAGTCATGTGACTTCATGCATTTACCAGGACTCTGTGATCTGACTCACTGTTGTGTTTCTCCTCTGCAGAGGGATGGCTGAAAACCATCAGAGGTTTGTTCCACATTGGCACAGAAAACAATGAAGACTCCGCCACTCCACTTTCTCTTCTTCCAAAGTAACTCTGTTTACTGCAGTCAGTATGAGTTATCTGAAGCTTTTGGTTGATTGTTGCTTTGATTATCAGAGAAACTACTGTTTGATTTCTTCATTCAACCATTTCTATTTACACTCTGTAGACAGAAATTGTCTTCTGTGGTCTGTGCACTACATTTTGGACTGGCTGTATTCTCTTGACAAGAACAACTTGTTACTTTAACTTATCCAAAACATTAATTTGCCTTTATAGGCTATAGTGTGAGGGTGTGTGAACAGATAAAAATGCTCAGATTAGAGCACTGCAGAAATGTGTGTGACTGGTAGAATAATGACTTGTAGTAGAAAGCTATTTAATGCTCAACTTGAATATAGGAAGGTTCTGTATAAGTACCAGTTCACTATGCATAAATGCACAGGAAAGCTCAGATGTCCAAGTTTTCCAACAGCACTTGAACAAAGCTTGCACAGTCAGAGTCTTAAAAGAGGATTTTTAAAAGAAAGAAAAGTCAGTAGATAATAATTGATACTAAAAAGACCAACAGCGCCTCCTTCAACTGACACATTCCAACAGACAGGCACACAGCCCCGCCCGTCACTAGCAGCTAAACAGTGAGGTTTCAGCAGTGAGTAAAGCTCCTGTTTTAATAGTGTTGAAATATTGAAGAGTTAACATAAATGTTAACCTGGCTGCTCATTAGCAATTACCTGATAGCCACTTTACCTGTCTGTTTTGTTAAGGTAGTGGCTATGGCTACTAAATTAGATCATTTTTAATAACAATATACTATATAATGTTAAAACTGCACACAAATATAATGTAACCTGTGTGTGTCTGGTAACCCGTGCACACATTTTTTACCAATCTGTAAGTGAAAGAAAAGAATGTCACAAATATTTGTAGACATTTGTATCCACAGAAAACCTTTTAGCAGTTAGTCATCACATCTGTGTAAAATCTGTTTGAGTCATTCATGTTTAATTAGTTGGTGATGTGTCAATTTTTAATAATAGTTACACAAAAATCACTGCACATGAGTTGTATGGGTCATTTTTGCACATTTGTTACTAGCCTAATTCCTCTCTGTATGGCTCTTCATCCCCAAAGCAGCCTAAAGTTTTGTGTTTAAGTGTAAGAAATATTCTATAAGATTGAGAAAACAAAAACTGATTGAAAGACTAAAGTGCTTCATGTTAGGGTTAAAAGACAAACGGGATAATTAACAAAGATACTAACAACACAAACTGTGCACATTAATTTATAAAATATATGTAAAAAACTGCGAATGGGGAAAAAATGGCAATGAATTGAACCATTAAACGTTGGACAAGGGTCATATAATTGGCTATTCATTCGAGGCTATGCTCCTTTTTAATCAGTGGAGTAGATATGGACATTGTTTAAAAAAAAAAAAAAAAAAGGTCAATGACTCTAACTGAAGTACTATGTAGCTGTCACGGTTCTGGGTCCGTTGGACCCAGTATTTTGAGTTTATTATGTTTTGGATTAATTTTGCATCATGGATTGTTTTCTTGTTCTCTTGTTGTGCTTGTGATGATTATTATTTGAGTTTCATGTTTCTGTTATCCATGTTTTAGGAATTGTGGTTTCATGCATAGTTCAGTTCATTTTTCAGTTAGAAAAAGCATGAAACTTGTTATCAGAGGTAGAGATTCCTAACAAAGAGTTTTGCACTTTCATTTGATAACACATACTGTTTATGTATATTTAACATCACATGCTGACACAAAGGATTATGGTATAACTATAATTAACACAGCTTGTGTAGTCTTTAAATAGATGAGTGTTTTTAAGAGCACATTATTTTTTCTAATTCAGCAGTTAATATAAGCACTGTATGTTTATTTCAAAGATAATAATTTATAACACTCCTTGTAATTCATTAAAATCAGATCAACTTTTATTTTCAAAGGTAAATAAAGTATATCAGCCAACATACTGGACAATGTTCTGCTGAACAACACACATATTACCAATATTGTAGCTGGTGTTATCTGGTAAGAATGTGTTGAGTTTTTTGGTCTAAATAACCCAAAATGTGATGTCCACATATGTGGACGTCAGGTCCAAGGAGGTTAAGGATGGTTTGTTTGTCCGTCTAGGCATTTCTGCTTGAATTACTGTCATGAATTTAGGTCAGGGGTCCCCAACTCCAGGCCTCGAGGGCCAGTGTCCTGCAGGTTTTAGATCTCACCCTGGGTCTACACACCTGAATCAAATGATTAGTTCATTACCAGGCCTCTGGAGAACTGCAAAACATGTTGAGGAGGTAATTTAGCCATTCAAATTAGCTGTGTTCGATCAAAGACACATTTAAAACCTGCAGGACACTGGCCCTCGAGGCTTGGAGTTGGGGACCCCTGATTTAGGTGATCCAAATACAATTGCCTGAAGAAAGTGTTTAACATTGTCCAAACTTCCCTCAAGTACAGTGGCTATCGATGTGGGTTGGAGATGCAATGACCTTGAACCTGCAGGTGACCACACCATCTGTGACGAAGGGCTCATCTCTTCTTTTTGCTATAGATTTCCTGCATGGAAACAATTGCATGCTTTACAAACTAAACTTGCTCTACCCATTTCATTTATCTGCAACCGGGTCGCGGGGACAGCAGTCTAAGCAGAAAACTTCAGACCTCCCTCTCCAGCTTATCCATGGTAACTCCTTCAGGTCCTGGGTCTGATCGAGGGCCTCCTCCCGGTGGTACACGGCCAGTACACCTCACCAGGGAGACGCCTAGAAGGAATCCTTGTCAGATGCCAGAACCACCTTAGGCAGGTCAGGAATCAGGATGAGGAAGAAATTGGGTCAGATCAGTGCAGGTTTTCGCACAGTACATTGCACATTTACTGTGATATTGTCAGGTATGTTGTATAATTTATGTACACCTTCTCCATCCCATTTCATCTGTCTGTTTTCTGTGCCAAGTTTTTTTTTTCTGTTTAAATGGAAACACAAAGACGTACTTTTGTTTATATTTAGTGTATAAAGTGTATATCTATTTTCTTACTGTTCTTATATCTATTTGGTTTTTTGCACTGATGTAATTGGAGCCTCGTAGTCTCGTCTCTCTATATACTATACTGTATATAGCGGAAATGACAGATGTTTACTTTGACTTTTTTTTTAAATCTTTTGTACAGAGCAGAATCCCTTTTGTCACAGATATGTTTATTAATATACATTGGATGTCCCTGGGCACACAAAGTAGGCTTAACTAGGAAAAACAGCAGCTTAAAAAGGATTTTTGACTGAGGATAATGGTGTCAGACTTTCCCATTTTAATGCAGACATTTAAAGCTATTGCAAAGCTTGTTGACTTTGGAAATGATGCTGTTCAGCGGTGGCTGCAGTTCCCTGGCAGAGAGGGCTCTGTTCCTGATGGAGGAGATGAAGGAACAACCTGTTAGTCCATCAAATGTGTGTAGTAGCACTGAGACAGAGACAAGAATCTCAGTCTGCAGCTGTGACTTAATGTCATGGTCCTGAGTCTGAGGACTCAGTGTTTTGTGTTTCCTTATGCTTTTGTTCATTCCGAGTGTGTATTCTGTTGTGATTTTGCCATTTGTTAGGTTTCTGTTCTTTGCCTGCCTGCTCCCACTTCTCTGTGTTCCCTCTGTTTGTCCATGGTGTTATTGTGTCTGCTCATGAGTCTGCCTGTCAAATTCAGTGTCCTGTCTGATTCTCTGTGTCTGTTAGTTTCCTGTTTTATTCTGAAAGTTCATGTCTCATGTCAGTGTGTTCAGTTTTAACTCTCCCCTGTCTCGTTAGCCTTATTGCTCCCAGCTGTGTCTCCCTCCTGTGGCCCATTCCCTGATTACTCCCCGTGTATTTAAGCCCTGTGTTTTCCTGTGCTCTCTGTCGCGTCGTCTGTTTAGTTCCATGTCAGGCTGCATTATTCTGTTACCTGGTATTCATTCTGCGTCTCTCTGCCATCTCTCTTTGTGCATTTCGCTCCTCCTCCCGTGAGTGTTTGGTTTAAGTTTTGTTCTTTAGTTTTCCCAGTTTAGGTTTGTTTACTCCCCGCTCTGCTCTTCCTGTTTTGTCACCTTCTCACCGTTGTAAATAAACACTCACTCGCACCCCAGTCGGTACCTGCATTTTGGATCCTTTTTTCAATACACCACACGACTGCTGTGCAGCCGTGACACTTAAGGCATAATACCTGTCCGGGTTGCATGTGTAAACTTTGTGAGAAAGCCATCGCTCAGGGAAATGTGTAAAAGCTGGTGAGCCTTTAGAACAAGTGTAGCTATTGTGTGGCAATCAAAACAAAATGTGAATATTAAATCAAAATGCCTGACTTTCATAAAAATGTGTTTCTCTCAAGTCTCTTTTTTTCTAATGAAAATGAGCTACATTCAAGTCAAAATTATTACAAAATAAATGAATAAAGTTGTATTTTTTGTTTAGTTTTTGTGTGTTTGAAGTCTCCTCTTTGATGTGTTGACTATGTGTGTACACTAGAAGGACAGCCTTTCTAAAAGGGGGGGAACAGCAGGGGGTAATTACGGAAGCAGAAAGATGTGTAGTTCTGATTAAATCAGCTCTTCCTCACACAGAGTGATAAAACTAAGCTCAAGGATTCTGAGACAAAGCACATAAATGTTGAAAAACCATTAAAAATACTGGTCACTTCAAAAAACAAAACAAGAAGCTTTTTACAGCTGATGCAGGAAGTTATTTTTATAAAAGTCACTTTGGTTTTCAAAGTAGGAGAGTATCACAGTTTCAGTATCGTTATCCAAACTGTGACTGAAGCAAGAGCACGAGTCTCTGTTTAAAAGGTTGAGTATGAAGGTAAAAAGAAATATACAGCACGTTGATGTGCTGATATGTGAGATCTGCCAGAAGCAGGAGGGTCGGTCAAACTTCATCAGAAGATTGGACATTTTCATAGTTCACTGCTCCATCATCAACCTCATCTTTGCACATCTGTAAAATACAGAACAATGAACGTCATTAAAACTGTAACTGCATTTTGCATTTAGCACAATCAGACTAATAAGCCGACAAAGTAAAGATTTTCTTTTATCCTGATGGGTTCTACTTGTTCATGAGCCAGAAAATACAGTTTTATCCAAAATTCAGTGTGATCGCCTATTTATTGTGTATACTTTGTCCGAAAAAAGTTAACAAACTCACCGTGTTTTCCTCCATCTGTGCTTTTTTCCCTAAAAGGACCAAGTAAGGAGTCAACTTTAGCTTCCACAAACAAAATCTTGTTCATATATGATTATTCTCACCAACTCTTATCCAGATGTTGACGATCACAACAGCAGCATTAAGTGCTGCTAAACCCAGAGCCACTATGATGAGCCTGTACAAGGACCAGCCTGGGAAGATAAAGAAAACACGAAAAGCATATTTGAAATGTATTTTTCTTTGCAAAACACACAACACAAACCTCAAACTTTTCGTTCTGAAATTCAGAAAGCGGAGGAAAAATGATACAGAGGACAAGTTGGCATTACTTTGTAATTTTCTTGAACCTTCCATGCTTTCCAACTCTTTTGTCCCCAGACCTGCTCTTACTGTATTTCCAATTGTGATTTCCAATTTAACTGTTGTTGTTGTAATTGTTTGTTTGTTTGTTTGTTCACCTAAATGAAAAAAGAAGATTCAGTGGCCCTTTCACTAATAAATTGTCTGTATAAATTGTCTGTCAGTTAAAACTTTAAGTTGTTAAAATAAACAAATAATGTGAAGTTACTTTCAAAATTTTATCATAATCATTAAAATCTCTCCTCCTTTCTTACCTGATGAATGAGGGCTGAAGGTAAAAAGCTGCTCTTTGCCATCTTCTGTTGTTACGTTACACTTAAAGTCAGAGTTAGATATGTGACTGTATAAAGAATTTACAAAAGTCACAGTAGCAGAGCAGGACGACTGTAATGTTTTTATGTTTGAGTAATCTCTATTCAGACCTTCACTGTAATGAATCCACTTCACTTTGTGTTCACAATGTCCATGTACCTGCACAGAGCAGTTTAAAGTCACCTGATCCCTGCTCTTCTGTTCAGTCACTGGTGAAGATAAACGCAAGAAGAATTAAAAAGTATAAATACATTTCTTTTCACTAAATGTAATGTTTCATGATGTTGCTCTAACAACACAGTTTGAACTTCAACATATTGTGGTGTAAATACTCACTGATGACATCAGACAGATAAACCACAGCATCTGGACCTTGCTGTTTCCCTGGATTACCTCTAAACTGTCTGCAGGTGTAACGACCAACATCCTCAGCTGTGACCTTCTTTATAACCAGTGAACATTTTGCTGTAACACTCAGTCTGTCTGATTTGACTGTTTCTTTGATTTGTCCAAGATTAACCAGCTCTACTGCTGCTTTTCCTCTTGAATCAGTGAAGAGCCAGGTGGTAGTGTCACAGCTGTGATGGTTTTTGATCATGTTTTCACAAGGCAAAGTGACTTTATCTCCATCTCTGACAGTGAAGGAGAGTGAAAGATCTCCACTTAGATCTCCTGAGAATATAACAGAAAAAAAAAACAATAGTTGTCTGAACGGAGACGATTTACATTCTTATTACAAAAGAACTAACAAAAAACTTGATTTGGGTTGTCAAACAAAAGCACAGCTCTCTTGGATTTCAAAATAAAGTAAAACTCAAAAGAAGAAGAAAAATCTCTTACATGTTACATGTATCCTTACCTTCAAACTGAAGCACAAATATAAAAAAAACACAGACCTTGTAATACATCTAGATACACGGAGAGCTTCCTTTAATTAGTGAATCATGATGTCCTCATTAAGACTTTCAGCTTACTCTTAACAACCAGTTCAAAACAACAAGTTCAGCTGATTTGCTCCACAAAGACTCCAAAAGGAGGAATATAAAAATAAATGCAGAAAGCAAACAGAAAGTATCACAGCATAAAAGCTAAAGTAGGTAAAAGAAAATTGATGTAGAAATTACACCTAATAATTGAGACAAAACAAGAGTTTGGTGACTATTGTAACTGAACATACTTATCAATATCAGACGTCTATCATTAAGACAGTGAATTATTCAAAACTACTTCATGCATCTATTAATCTTAACAATAATCTATTCAGTAAGTTAGATGCTGATAAAGTGTTACAGTAGGAAGAGGTTTTCAAAGCTAATTAATTTTCATAGCAGAAAATGTGTGTTTGAAATTTGTTGTTGAGATTAAGTAAAATAGCAAAAAGGTTTTAGTTGTAAATAAAGGTTTCCTTACCTGAAAAAAGAAGCAACAGAAACAGAGAAATGTTGAAGAATTTGTGTTCAATCATCATGTTTTGTTCTGGTTTTCCTTCTCATTTTGTCACATCTATAACTGGCAAACTCTGTTGTACTTGTCAAAGACACATGCCTATCTAGTTTACTTCCTGTCTCCTCCTCATTCAGGCTGTGGTCATTTTCAATGTTATGGTTATTTCTTGTATTTATTTTTTAATGTAGATCATATGAATTCCCTCAGTTTTTCAAATGTGTAGACCCCTTCTCAACCAAACTGACACTGCAGTCTTACTAATTTTGGTGGAGGTAAATAAGAGTAATTTTATAGGATATTAAATAATGTGTTGTAGAGTTTTATCTCCACTAAAGCCACAGCACACTTCCTGTCCACTGCCATATATCAAAGTATGTATTTGTACCAATTGTCTTGTGCAAACTCATATTGCTTGTTCAGTGTTTAACAGAATCCATGTTGGTGATGGTAAGCAAGACTTTGCTCTTAATGATTTAGCTTGTTTAATTCATTTTTAATGAGCAGCAGCAGAGCGGGGGAGGTGTTATCCACAAATGACCAGAATAAACATAAGTGGGAATATTTTGTATTTTAGATTGCTTTACTTTCTTGCAACCTAAAAAAATGTATTTAGTTCTCAGGTCCTAGTTGCTTTGGCTTTATTCCTCCCTTAGTGTAAAAGCTAGTTCTGTTCATGTGGATGCAGTGGCAGGTTTTCACATTTTCAGTGCCACTCATTCAAGTGACTGCTTTAGTCTCATCCTTTCCCCATCCTTATAACACTGGATTTGCATAATGAGTGAAACTAGCACCCCTGTTTAACTTTCTCATTTCCTGTCTTATTTTGTTGAGCATGTGTTTGTATAGGAATTTCTTTTACTTATGTATTAATCACATTATTTTATTGTATAATGCCTTGGTGCCACTGGATTTTAACATGTCTGACACCCATACTGTAAGACAAATGGTGGAGGTGTTGTAAGGAAGTGTGAAGGGAGTGTGAACCTTAATGTGTGAAACAGCTGTGTACTGCCTTTTGTTCCTGAAGAAGGTATTTAACTGAGAGCCATGCTAGGCTCAGTGAGACTCTGCTGACCTGCCCCGCGGTCATGTAGGCTCTCCACAAGCTTGGTTTTCTGTTCTTTGTGTGTTTGGATTAAAGAATGTTAGCTACCGCTCACCGCTCGTCTGCAGGCTTTATTTAAATGGAAAACCTCCACAACATGTTCCATGTGTGCATTGTTTTGGGTTTTGCTTCCTTTGTTCCTTTGTTTTCCTTTACTCCAAAGTGACCTTATCTCCGTCTCTGACAGTAAAGGAAAGAGAAAGATCTACTGAGAATATGCCAGAGAAGTAGAAATGTCACCATTACTTTTCAGAGTGCAGATTAATGACATACTTAAGCAGAGAGAGTTTGAATTTGGATGTTTATTTTTTCATTTTTTGGACTGCAACAATTTTAATTTGCTTTGCTTAAAGAAACATCACTGGCATCTTATTTACATAAAGAACACTCATTTATGAAAAAATAAAATATGAAAAAAAAAGTTCTTCATTTTCTATTGTATTGTTTTTTTAAACCAGTTAGTGTATGTGTCTATTTGGTAGCTTAGTTTCTTGCAATTATTATACAGCACCCCCTTCTGGACAACAGTAATTGTTACAAAAATAAATGAAGCTGGTTGTTACATGGGGAACTTCAGCCTAACATCTTCCATTATACACTCCAGTAGACATAAAACTAATAACAAAACAGTGATGTTGATTGAAAAGTGTGTATCCAAAACAAAAGCCAAACTTTTATTGGGGCAAGGAAAAAACCAACAGGGACCAGATAACAATATCCATCAAACAAAGCTGAATATACAACAGGAAATCTCATAAGCAGACAGACAGTAAGCATCAAACAGAATGAGTGGTTACACCCACAGGAAATGAAAGGGAAACAAACACTGCCGCAACTAATCGATTAAGCAAGTATACACTCCAGTAGCAACGTGTGTTTAAATACACAACAGGTAATGAAGGAAGGTAAAGTAGATGGGAAATCAAACACTGCTGCGACTAATCAAGGAGGCAAATACAAAGGAAGTGAAATTTATTAGAAAGTGCAGGCAACAAAAATAAAACTGTAAATAAAAGAGAACAATCCAAAAAAGACAGAACAGAAAATATAATAGAAAATATAATATATAAATCTAAATAATATAATATCCAATATAATTCCAAACTGAAAACACTGTTGTTGGGTTTCCTATTGTTGTATTTTGTCTATACACCCTTGTGGTTAAAAAAACACCTAAGGTCCAAAAACGTTTGCAGGTTCAGGGAAAGTTCATTAGTCCTGGTTAAAGTAATATACTTGGGTATGGTTGTGGTCATGACTGTAACTTTACTGAACAACTGTTTTCACTGACTTCACAGATGACAATAAGCTTGTCATGTAATGAAATAAATGTATTTGTTCAATGTTATTGATCTGATCAAGGTCTAAATAATCCAACACTAAACTTTGATCGGAGCAGGTGCTTAAATCTGTTCAACACTGACCTGTGCTGTTATTTACTTTTTTAGGCCACTCTCCAAGTCAGTCAATGGGAAAAACATCCACCGTCCACCTTTTCCACCATGTGTCACTTTGCACTTCAAAATCTCCAACAATTGTTGGATTTGTAAATATGATCAGATGTTGTAAAGGTCACACTAGCTGAGCAGGTAGACTGTGATATCCACACGCCATTGTCATTGTTATATAGTCATTTCACAGTGTATTTGTATTCTTCATATGTGGACACAGAGCAGTTTAATGTCACTGTGTGTGTAGCCTGTGTGTCCTTTAGATATTCTAAACTTGCAGTGGATATTGTCTCCTTTCACTTTAACTCTCATATGTATGTGTCCTGATTTATGATCAATCTCAGGTGTCTTGAACTGAATTTCTTCATTTAGATAAGTTTAAGCCCTTTGTGAAAAAACCTGCTCACCAGAGGGAAGGTTTGTTGTCAGTAGAGAAATGCAACCAACATAATAAAACTTTCTCATTCATTCATGTAAAATTGTGTTTTTCATACAGGTAAAGACATATCCTCCCACTCTGATGCCTGATTCCATTTAATCCTGCTTTTGATGCTTAGAGCAATGAGACACAAATGTTTGAATAATTGTTTATGGAAAAAATGAAACTAAACTTGTAAATTACTGCAGTTTTAGAAAATTTACAGGCAAATAGCAAAATAAACACATCTATGTACATCATTTCAAAACTTTGAACAAAAGATAAAATAAAACTGAAAGCCTTTCAAATGTTACAAATTCTGCTCTTTAAGCACTCACACAACTGCTTCCTCCTTTTAAACTGAGCAAACCGATAATTCTTATAGGGACGAAGCTTTTTCACAGAAGCAATGACCTGATGATTAAGTTTCCTTTTTGTTTACTCTATGGTAGCATAGAGGCTGCTGGGATCTGTGGAGGAAGCTTTCACAGTGGAGTAGGTAACTGTCTCATCACTCTCACATTTATCCCGAACCTGGAAGCACACAGACCACAGGATGTTTCACCACATGTAACACAACACAGTGAAAACATCATTTACTAATGCACCGATGAAGCCAAAAACATATCATATGCATTACTTTATTTTCACTGTTAGCCTTGTTGGTGTAGCTGATGGAGATGTAGGAAACACCATCTTCATGATCTGCCTACACAGTAAAGAAAACATGATTACTGCCCTCTGAGATGCAGGAGGATCTACACTGACCCGTCTCTGCCAACGATGTCAAAATGTTTTACCACTTCTTTTGGCTTAGTTTGACAGCAACAGTTCACTTCCCTTCAGTTTGAAATCTCTCTTGCACAGTCTCATGTTGTAAAGTTAGTTTTATAATGTTGAAGAACAAATGCAAACAGCAGAAGTTGTGAGTTTGACCTTATTATTTTCTAAATCACTGAAGGATTTGAAGTCAAGCCTGAATAAATATATGCATTACATCAGTGCAACTTCCAGTTACTTTTGAGTGTTTAAACATCTGCAACAATCATAGATAGATAATGACATAAAACACATAAAATGCAACACAAAAGTCCAACTACCAGTACCATAGGGTCTTTTTTGTGACCAGAAAGGACTTTGCACATAGGCTGAGGTCATTTTTGGAGTTAATAATTATAAAATCAAAGCAAAAATGAATTTTGCACCCTCTTTTTTCTTTTCTTGATCTTTTGCTGCACCAACCACTGCACCACTTCTGATCTAGAATTAAAATGTTTAGTAAAGATTATTTTTAAACTCACATTTTCATTGGCTTGTGTTTTGGTCCCTGAAAAGAAAAGAAAAACAGGATTACACACTTGACCACAGAGAAGATTCAGCTTTAATATTTAATGTGGGATTTTCTCTCACCTCTCTTCAGTACAATCAGTTTCACAGCAAAGATTAAAAGTGCTGCTGAAATAACAGCCACGAGGATGTACGGCCACACCAGAGCTGCACCTGAACACAAATATCTGAAGCGTTTCATTTACTGTTCAATGTCTAAGAGGTAGAAAAGTTGCAAATATGACATGCATGTGACTTAACAAAAAATTATTCAATCATTGCTTTGAACCCCCCCAAAAAAAACAAAAAAAAAAAGAAAAATCACCTGGGTCATCAGTCTGTGATGTTGTTCTTGATGTTCTTGATGTTCTTGTTGTTCTTGTTGTTGCTGATGTTACTGTATCTTCATCATTCAAACAAAAGATCAAATTCAGCTAATTAAAAGTTCTTTCCTCACATCAGTTGAAAGTAATTTTCTCAACCGAATCTCTCCTGGTTTCTTACCTGATGACTGAGGCCTGAAGGTACAAAGCTGCTCTTTGTTTTCTTCTGTTGTTACGCTACACTTAAAGTCAGAGTTAGATATGTGACTGTATGATGACTTTATAAAAGTAACAGCAGCAGAGCAGGACGACTGTAATGTTTTTAAATTTGAGTAATCTCTATTCAGACCTCCACTGTCATGGATCCACTTCAGTTTGTGTTTACACCGTTCATATGTCCACACAGAGCAGTTTAAAGTCACTTGATCAGTGTTCTTCTGTTCAGTCACTGGTGAAGATTCGAAGAAAAAAGCAAACAAACAAACATTTTTAAAAAAAAATAAATGTAAGGTGTTAGCATATTGTTTAGTTGTTCACAGCTTGTAAATACTGGTGGTCTGGTGTGGTGTGGTGTAAATACTCACTGATGACATCAGACAGATAAACCACAGCATCTGGACCTTGCTGTCTCCCTGGATTGCCTCTAAACTGTCTGCAGGTGTAACGACCAACATCCTCAGCTGTGACCTTCTTTATAACCAGTGAGCATTCTGCTCTAACACTCAGTCTGTCTGATTTGGCCTTTTCTTTGATCTGTCCATGATTAACCAGCTCTACTGCTGGTGTGCTTCTTGATTCAATGAAGAGCCAGTTGATAGCGTTACAGTTGTGATGATTCTTCATCACATTTTCACAAGGCAAAGTGACTTTATCTCCATCTCTGACAGTGAAGGAGAGTGAAAGATCTCCACTTAGTGTTCCTGAGAACACGACAAAGAATCAAAAAGGTAACACTGCATGTCAGAGCACAGATAATTTTGCACAGTTATGCACACATGTATGCATTTGTATCTTTTTCATTTTCACTAGTGCACTGAGCTGGAAATGTTTTTAAATCTTTCTCTTATACACATGTTGGATGTATCCTTACCAACTGAAGCACAGGTACAGCAGTAAAAATACTTTAAGCTAAATCGATTTAACCATCATTTCTCAGTCTCTCTTTTCTCATTTTCTTCTTGAGCTTCTGAAAAATAAGTGTATCAGCTTCCCTGTTATTAGTGAGGTAATACATTCATAGAACTCAGAATCTGCTGAGATGATAATAATAATAATGTCCTCAGTGTAAACTTTTGTAATCTCATTTATAAACGTATCTGTATTCCTACCTGTTAATTGAAGCATTAGTATCACTGATAAAAACATGTGAATCCATCTGAATTCAGCCATCATGCTTCTCGGTATTTCTCCTTCCTGTTTCTCACAGTAATGACAGTCGCAGACTTTAAAGTTGTGCTCCCTGTGGCGGTTCCTGTGGTTGTTATCTCACTATCTCACGCTAACTGTTCAGGAAGTCCTTTCTCTGACAATTTCTGTTGTTTATAAAATGGCTGGGGAACGAAACAATATTAAAGAGGTCAAAGGTCACTGCAGGCCATCAAACCCTGTAAAACTAAAACGAGCACGTAGAACAGACAGCCGAATGTTGCTCAGTGACTTATGATAATCCCACTGTCCGTTTGTGAAGGTAAGATTACGTCTTCTTGCTCTGATACTTGTTGGTCCCTCACTGTGTCTGTGAAGTGTTGTTTTTCTGAGAAGTGAAGGGGCAGAGTTGGTGAGAATGTAGAAGTGTTACCATCAGAAACAGACGCTTCACACACTAAATGTCCTTTAGACATTTAAACTAAGTGTAACAGCAAACTGTTCTCACAGCTGAGGGTGTTGGTTATTACACTTTCAGAAAGTTCAACATATTGTTTTTTTTTTTTGTGGCTCATGCCTATGTTATTAATAGTAAACATTTCAATCATATAATTTTCAGCTCAGACTGTCTCATTAAAACACAAACTGGAAGATTACTGTAAATTTCATTCTCTCTTTTTTTATTCGTGACTGAAAGTAAGGCCAACAGGGTAGAAACATTAATCTGCATAGATGTGCAAAGGCAACAAACTCACAGGCTCAACTGTTGTCACTTCATTGGTACATCATTACTTCCTCATTACATCTTATTTAAGTGTCTCTTTCTGAGAACTGAAGGGGAAGTGCTTTGGTGCAAATGTGGATACGACAGCCCCAGCATAACTCTGCAGGTTTTAACCTCTAATTGTCATGTACTGGCTGTGTGGAGGCAGGAGAAGACCCAAACGCAAAACTCACGGAGACTGGAACTGAACTCAAAAATGCTGCTTTATTGCAGAAGTGCAAAGTAACAGAACAAAACCAGGAATATAAACTAAAGCCCGAGGGAACAGAAAGCCACACAGGTTCGGGGAAGAGACATTGACGACGCAACACTGACCTGATGGAGACACGCACATAAATACACAGAGGGTTAACGAGGGAAGTGGGAGCACACGGGGAACACAGCTGACACAGATAATCATAACGAGACAGGGCAGGAGTGAATACAACATGACGCATACTGACGAGAGACTGTCAAAGTAAAACAGGAAGTACACAGAGGTACAGACAGGAGGAGAGAGCAAGGGGAGAACACAGACATAACGGGCTGGGGAAAACATGGAATAAAACACAAGGAGAGACGAGGGCTCACAGATACACACAGGAGGTAACCAAATAAGGAACATCTTAACTAAATAACCTAGGAACCAAGGCATAAATAGGGAACAAAATACAAAACACACAAAAACTTAGAATACTGGGCCAACATGGCCCAGGACCATGACACTAATGACGACCAGACACAGGTCAAAAAACCACAGAGTGTCTTTTAGATATTTTAAAGCTGCAGAAGATGAATGATTCTTTATGTTTAAACATTTCAGTATCCAATCATGCTTTTTAGGGGAAAAGTTTACTACAAGTGGGACATGCAAAGTATAAATTATCACCTTCTATTCCAGTTTACAAGAGATTTATTTTCAGTAGAGCAATGCAATCCACAGAATGAAATGTTCACACTCCCCAATGAAAGCCTTGACATGAGATAGGATACACAAAGCTGCCACATAAACACTGCAGACAGTCCAAATGAGTTGTTTCAGATATCACAGATATGTTTTTATTCATGCTTCCTCTAACTTCCTCAGAGGTCACTTGTCCTTGTATAGATGGAGATAAGCTTTTGGGCAGTGCTTTGAGTCTTTAAGTTATTCCTTTAAATATGTTATGTAATAGGATTATCATTTGGTTGCCTTAAATTTAGTTTATGTTTTACTTAAGTCATCTGTGTTAGTCTGTCATGTTTCTTGTCTTCTTGTTCATATTGTCAAGCTTGTGTTGCCATGTCTGGATTCCACTCTGTTTCTTGTTTTACTGTGAAAGTCCCTGTCCTATGTGCAGTGTTCCTTGTCTCGTTAGGTCTGATTTGTCCCAGCTGTGTTCCCACCTGTTCCACATCCCCTCATTATCTCTGTGTGTACTGAAGTCCTCTGTCCTACTTTGTTCAGTGTCAGGTTGTCTTTTGTCCTTTGCACCACCATGTTCCATCTATCATGTGTCACGTATCCACGTCATGTTTTGGGTTTTTTATGTTTATCTTTAATTTCCCCAGTTTAGGTTATTGTTTAGCATCACCTCTGCCTTTTGTTTTGCAATGTCTTACCAGCCTTAATAAACGTCTCGCTTTCTGTTAAGTTTGAGTTTTGTTTTAGAGTGTCTGCGCTTGGGTTCACCTCCTTTATTCACACAGTCAGCTTTGCAGCCTGACTGTGACAGGCAGGTCTCAAAGTTGTGGCTGAATGGCATATTTAAATGTACTTTAAAGTCAAATAGAGAAGCTAACAGGATAGGGCAAAAATCCAATCCAAATTTACATTTGTAGTCATGAAAGCACAAACCAGTCACAGGATGCTGGGAAGGGTTGTCAAAGAGTTCAAAGGAGAGAAATGAACGAAGATAGGGTGTACTTATGGAAATGGGACAGGTAGAAGTGGTTGTTCTTAAAATAACATGAGAGTTAAAGACTGGAAACAAGACACCAAAAGTGACTGAAGTGAGAGATGCAAAACAGACTTTCTGCTTAGAATTTTTATTTATTTTAAAGATTGCATTATGTTCAAATTCATTAAAGATAACAGTGTGTGTGATTACATCATCATCAATCAAAACTCATTTGAGCGCAGACCAGATTCGACCACATACAAATGACTTTGTATCCAGGCTCAGGCTCATAAAACTAAGCTCAAAACTCTAAACTAACTTTCTGCAGCTGAAAAAGAAAGAAATGAAAAATGGCTTTGAAATCTATTACCCAAGATTACCCAAGTGCCTATTACCCAAGTGCCAACAGGAGTGTTTTGGAAATAATAGTGAGAGCATGTTTTTCAAATTCAGAAATGATCAGCAAATGCAGATGTAAAAGAAAAATATTTGTATGTGTATTTCTTTTTACAACAACCATGCTGTACAGGAGGCTTCTGCAGAAAGAGAAAACAACATGTCAAACGTGTTTCTATTTTTGTGGTCCAGAAAACCACCAAAAGCTACCCCTGCCTGCTGAAAACTGATGAAAAACAATGTACACCTCCAAAAAACACAGTACAAGGAGAAAGAGCTTTTTACCGCTGATGCAGGCAGGTATTTTAGAAAAGTCACTGTGGTTCTAAAAAGATCATATCAAGATTTCAAATTGTTGTCCAAACTGTGACTAAGGCAAAAACAACGATTCCCTTTTTAAAAGCTTCTGCTCCTCGTGCAAATATAAAGCTTGTTGATGTGCTGATCAGTGAGATCTGATAGAAGCTGGAGGGTTGGTCAAACTACTTCAGTAGACTGGACTTTTTCATTGTTCACCATCTTTACACACCTGTAAAATACAAAATCATAAACCCGTGCTTCTTCAGAGCTTCATGTCTGGTTTATCAACCCTTCTTGCTTATGTGCAAACATTCTCACCAGCTCTTGTCCAGATATTGATGACCACAACAGCTGCTATAAGTGCTGCTAAACCCAGAGGCACTATGATGAGCCTGTACCAGCATGAGCCTGGAGACAGAGCATGAAAAGCATGAAAATAATATTTTAAATGTCATTTTCTGATTGTTTTTGTTTTTTAATGTAGATGAATACAGAGGAAAAAAACCATGTCATCTGAAATTAAAACATTTCATTCTAAAATATAGAAATATTGAAAAAAAAAAGCTGAATATTGTTGGTTACCTTGTAATTTTGTTGAATCATCCATGATTTCCAGCTCTTTTGTTGTGTTTCCAGTTGTAGTTTCTGATTTTATTGTTGTTGCAGTATTTGATTTCTCACCTGAATAAAATTCAGTGGACCTTTCATTAGGAAACTAAGTTCAGTCAATTAAAGCTTCAGATCAATAAAATGAGCGGATATTTTAGGTAATTAGTCAGATTAATGCAAAGTTATTTTGAAAGGTTCTTCAGAATCTCTCCTGGTTTCTTACCTGATGACTGAGCGCTGAAGGTAAAAAGCTGCTCTTTTTTTCCTTCTGTTGTTACGCTACAGTTAAAGTCATAAGTTGATATATGAGTGATGCATCATTCAGAAATGTCACAGCAGCAGAGCAGGAAGACTCCGATGTTTTTAAATTTGAGTAATCTCTATCCAGAGCTTCACTGATATGGATCCACTTCACTTTGTGTTTGCACCGTCCATATGTCCACACAGAGCAGTTTAAAGTCACCTCAACAGCTTTCTTGTGTTCAGTCACTGGTGAAGATGAAATTCAAGAGAAATACCAAATAAATATAAGTTTCCTTTTTTCAAAATTTAACTTGTCAGCATGTTGTTCTAACAGGATGGTTTGAGCTCAAAAATATAGTGTTGCAAATACTCACTGCTAACAACAGACAGATAAACCACAGCATCTGGACCTTGCGGTCTCCCTGGATTGCCTCTAAACTGTCTGCAGGTGTAACGACCAACATCCTCAGCTGTGACCTTCTTTATAACCAGTGAACATTCTGCTGTAACACTCAGTCTGTCTGATTTGGCTTTTTCTTTGATTTGTCCAAGATTAACCAGCTCTACTGTTGGTGTGACTCTTGAATCAGTGAAGAGCCAGACAGTAGTGTCACAGTTGTGATGATTGTTGATGAGATTTACACAAGGCAAAGTGACTTTATCTCCATCTCTGACAGTGAAGGAGAGCAAAAGAGCTCCACTATTTACTCCTGAGAACATGACAGAATCAAAAATGTTAACACTACATTTTTCAAGAGTGCATCAAACTCAGTTTTCATTGTTCACAGAAACACCACAGCTTTGTGTGCTAAATAAAAATGATATTACTAAAATTAAAAAGAAGAATAGTTTTCAAATCCTAAGACGATGTACAGTGTAAAAATCATCCTTACCTCCAAACTGAAGCATGAGTACAAAGAACAGAAACATTTCTATCCATCTAAATGTAACCATCGTGTCTCTCAGTCTCTCCTTTCTTCTCAGGCTTCTAAAGCATAAGCGTGTCTTCTTCCTGTAGTTTTCGATCTATGACTTCCTCATTATGACTTTCAGCTTTCTTTCTCACATTTCTGCCATTATTCTTACACAACCA